GAAGACTACAAATTCTAGTCCTCGGGCTACCATTATTCAAATTTAGTATGAATGAACTACTAAAAATTAAAAAAAAAAAGACACTTTGTTTTTACATTAAATTGGGGGGGGGGGGGCGTCACTTGCAAACACAGGGAACTGAGTCCCAAGCAACGATAAACAACACATCCTAAAAACGCAAAGGCTCATGGATAGATGCTTGTTTGTAAACAGTCACACGCTATGGTCATCTGACGCATGCACAGGTGACAACTTCCCTCGCTTTAATCAGTATGCGTTCAAAGTTATGGATGTCCAATAAGTCACAATGTGACATATTAACACTTTCTGGTATGACTTTTAGTTCTTAGTAAACAGGATAGACTGCAACATACCCAATATTGCCACAGGAGTACCAATTCTTAAAGTTGGTAGGCTTTGTTATTCATACACTTGAAACCTTTGAGAGTCAAAGTCAACTGTTATCCCCATTCACAGAATAAAACCCACATAGATGTAAAGATTTTCAAATTTTTTCACATTACAGAAAAATACATAAAACAGTTTTGGCCAGAAAAATCATGGCGCACAGAGATTAAAATCTCCTAGCAACAGATACAAATATTAAACAGAACTAAAATTAGATTGTTACGTATTGATTATTTGTTTCAATACAAAGGTTATATTATAATGTCTGGGTAATTCAAACTTCACAAAAAATATTGGAAGACATTCAAACGCTTGGTAATATCCTGCATAGAAATAAAGATTCATGAAAGTGCTCCTGTGTAATTTCTGCAAAATCATTCAACCATAATGAACTAAACATAATTTTATTTTCACAAAATTCATAAAACCCAGTGCATAATATCAAACCAAGAAAACTTAATTCAACGAATAAGGAATGAGAGTTCAACACATTTGGATTTGTTTACTGTTGATTCCCAAATGACTGGCATAACTAGTTTGACAAATCATTGATGAGATTATAATAAAATCCATAAATTAGCTGTATGAATAAATAAATTAGCTACACATGTCCAAGTGCATGTATATGCACATAATGAAATTACTATTAGACATTGGGCTCAACAAATTCATTCAAGCAATTCACAAAAAGTATGCAGATTAGGTATTTATATTTGCAAATTTATTACAAATTACCGGTAGAAGCAAGTGTGCATGTACATGTACCAATTTTCAATCGATTGGAACAAACTGATGTTGAAATACAAAGACAACATAATAAAATTAGTATGCTAATTAATATGCATTTCAGCAAACCACTGTAATGATGCATATAATTCACTTTGGACATTTTGTAAAAATTTAATTAGCTGTGAATAAGGCACATATTTATTTCTAAACAAACTAATTAGTTCATAAGTTTATACTTTAAAATAAAAACAAGGTTGTTCATGTTAATTCAATCTTATGAACAGCAAAAAAAATAATAGGTATCTGTAAAAGGAATTTTAACAAGTCGGTCATCTAAAATTGGAATACAAAACAAAATGACAATCAGCTTTGATATGCATCTATGCATGTAACTACTTTAAGTCAAATCTTAAGTACAAACAAATGATGCCAATACATGTCAGAGAAACCATCAATAAAATTGAGTTTAGGATCATAGGTCACCCCACCCACCTGTTGCCATGGTAATATTTACCTGACCTTAATAATTGTCAGTATTCCACATTTTAAAACAATAATTCGGAGATAAACATCATAACTTGTTATTTTATAATGCAATTGTTATATACAAATTTATGTATTTATTCATCTGGATTCAACAAACACCGAGCGACACTTTTTGTTATTGTTGGTTTTTAAGGAGACTTGTACCGGGGTATGTGTACTTTTGTTACCCTTGATTCTACTGTGACATTGAGTGCAAAAAATACCCTTTGAGGTACTAATATTTGATATGAGGTAATTTGGGATGTTTGTTTGCGATGCTTTACACTCAATCAGAGATGTTTTTGTTATTTGACTGGCAAAATAAAAAAACATACATATGAAAATTTGTGCTTACAACT